GGAATTAGCGAGGAAGAGGTTAAACCGGTAATGGATGCCGGTGGTAATCCACAAAATTGGCATAAGCAATATGTGTGGTTAATATTCAGCGAAACCGAATCACGGGAGCACTACGGTTACTGCAATTACTGTAAACAAAGCGTATTTGTACCCACTAACAAATTTGCGTCCAAACATGAATGTACTGCAGTGCACATACGCGCGCATCTAACACGACAAAATGAAACAGGAGCATCACAAAATTCTAAAACGGAGGACACGCCTACGCAAAATAACGCCATCGGGAAATTTAAGTTATATAAATGGCTTTTAGCTGATCCCGAAGGCAATAGAAGTTTTGGATATTGCAAATACTGCAAAACTCGCGTTATGACTGAAGGTTTATTGGCATTAGCTCATCATAATTCGCGTAGTCATCGAAAAGCGACCAATAGTTATTTACAGAATCCGGATACTGAGATTGCCGAGGAGAACAATCAAATGAACATACTAGACGATAGGTAAATATTAATTCAACAAATATGCTAGTAAATATTTTAGACTTACTTTTTTGTATATAGGATCCAGCAAACTATGGAAAACATTAATCCAGATGAATCTGGTTCCGAAACATCACTGGCTACACGATTGACTAATGCTCACACGGAGATGCTTAGCTTGATTCGTGAAATGAGAGGTAATAAGACGCGGCAGAATATGACAATACTATCCGGCCCATTGTCTGCAGCTGCATCCCTATCACCTTCGGATGCTGATATTTGTTATTCCCGTGTCTCCGAACAGCGTAATGGCAAGCTGGAGTTCAATGTATTAAGTCAGGCTAAGCGTGAGCGAAACACATACGATTTATTCTTTGAGAGTATGAATGAAACCGTAAAAAGATTACCCTCGGATTTGGCGGCTGAGAGTCGAATTAAAATTATGCAAATCGTTTATGATTTGGAAATGCGTGCATTACAGCGAACCCCTCAATCAACACAAAGTCCGAATACAACACCGTTGTCGTCGCGTTCAACGTTGGCCATGAGGGAGCGCAGCGCTTCCGTTACAAAGCCGAATTCTGATTCGATCATTCCAGATAACAATGAGCAAAGTACAAATGAAACAAATCAGAGTGTTAACAGTGATGCGCCATAACCAGATTGTATATGCTATTGGCATTTTTCACATCTTTTTAACTTTTTTAAACATTAGTTTTTTATTTTAATAATCAATTTCTCAACTGTTAAGGAACATTTTCAATATACCCATATAAATATATAACAATAATAATAAATCATTGTTAATGAATTGATTTTGTTCATTAATGTTTGTTCAGAACAAAATTTATTGTTTCAAGCAAAAATAATACCTTTACATAAGTATTTTTACTACAGAGGTAGTAGTTATTTACATTCAAAAAATTGCACTTTTAATTATCTACTTTGATACTATTATGATTTAATTACAAATGCTTAACAGTTGTGATCATTACTTTTTTCTCAATGCGAATTAGAGGGAAAACATTTAGCACTAAATTTTAAGCTTCATTTATAATAGTTCTCTTGTAGTAAGGATTTTATGAAAAGTAAAACAGAAACAATAAAAGTGTTACGTATATAAATCCTCCTTAACTTTAGCTAAGAGTAATAAATAACCATTTGGATTAGYATGAAAATAAGTAAAGTGAGTATTTTCTTTTATACCTAGTATCGGCATTTGACAAACTCTCTATCGGTAAGTTGTTGTTCGATTGCCAGAAAGTATTCCTGTATTAATTTCTGTCGGGTTGACAGTCTGTGGTCGGATAAAAAWTCCGTGTCCCTTCCGGTTACTTAGAGCCGACTGTAGTGCGGTAATTGCAGTAAAAAGTAAAGCTCTTTGTGCGTAAGATTTTTCTTTACAAAAATTAGACATAATACGGATCCGAATTTGTTCACGGTCAAGAACTGTCAACTCTATTTTTACTTGTTACAAAATCGGTTTTAATGTTGCTCTTCACTTCATAAGAAGCAATAATGCGATGTTCTCTCTTTTGGTTTTCTCTTCTGTCGCTTAGAGGCTACTTTCGATGGTTTAATACTAATAATTAATTGTTCGAGTAGAATACATCATTACCATTCAGGAAAGTTGTTATTGTGAAAGCCATTGAATACGTGTTCGGACCCGTTCCAGTTACGAAAATTCGACTGTCTGGAGAGCAACTCCAACTCTAAAGGTGTATTTAGAGGTACAACTAAGAAATCAAGAAACAGCCGGAGGAAAGTCACGTTAAGCGAATCAATTCTTTAAGGGCGCAAGGTTGCTTAAGGTTTTTAGGATGGAACGAATAGTGCGAAAGGATCAGAGAGCACAACGGATCTATGGTCGTGGTGTTTATCCTCCGCCACCTGCATATCTATTGGAAACAAACAAACGCAAATGAATAAACTTCAGACCTGTCACAACTCCGCACTCTTCGATCCTCTTTGTTTCAAACATACGTTCGCTTCGTGTATAACACCACTTAAGACACAACTGCCTTCTCTAGTCCGCGAGGTTAGGTAGTCAATCTTAATTTTTCGATATTAATMTAGGAGTCTTCCTCATCTGGTACTTTCAATGTGAAGAACACTTTTTACTTTCTGTCCAGTTGTTAGTCCATGACCGGATAAAAATCCGAGTCTGTTTTGGTGTATTCGATTGTCGTAGGAACAAACACAGGTCTTTAGAATCGCTGCTGAAAGATGGTCAAGATGTCATCACGCTATTTTGCAGTTCTTGTCGTCGTCGATTTCAATGACTAAATCTATGTACATATATGTAGGTTTTATTCAGAACTCTGGTATATGAGAACGTTCAATGAATGGTATTTATCTATTCCTTGGCATGGAAAGTAAAAAAATTCTCAAATAAAATGGCTTTTTATACAAGCTGTTCGTAGGTGTTTTTGGGAAACATCGAGAAATGTCTACAAGATACTCGGGAAACGTATATGTATATACTAGTTGTAGTTGCAAGTGGTTAATGTTAATATACACACACATATCGGAATATACACAGTCATACAATAGTTTTAAATATGTGTACTCTTAAGAAGTGGTCGAAGCCAAATCCTAAAATTTAGCAATATTTTCAGAAGGAACAAAGATATGTACATATATGGATGTGAACATACTACGTAGAAATTCTGGATTGTCTAGCTGAGTTAAAGAGATTGTCTAGTTGAGAAAAAGAGTAAAATCCTCTTATCCTCATTACCAAGAAGGAAGTGCAAAGTCGCTCTGGCCCCAAATACAATTATTGAATTTATAAGATTGTTGAGCTTTGATGGGTCATTGTGAAAGCGCAGGTCATTAAAACCATTGCTTTCTTTGCATACCTATATTAATATTATAATYCACATGAAGCGGCACAGGCCTTACGACATGCTGGGACAAGTCGTTCAAAGGGATTATATTCTTAAAAGCAGACGAAGAAGAAAATCCTCTCTGGAGCCAAATTGCGTCTTCGGAGAATGTTCTTACAATAACTCCATGAGTTATAACAATATACCGACGGAATTTCGGTCTCGAAAGACTTCAGACGTGTACTGAATTGACCCGGACTTTATCCGGCCAATTGACTCCCTTCCAGTTCTTTACATTTCTAGCCGGTTCTCTGCACCAGAATTGACGCGGATTTTATACGGCTAAGAGCTATTGTTTCGAAGATCTAGCTACGTTTAGGTASAAACTCCCTTCCCTCCCTTTMAGTATTAGCTACAAAAACAACAAGGTCGTATCTGCGTTGGAAGGATAAGGAGGTCACAAACTTGGTAGCACGTTTTGTATGAAATTGGCGATATTTCCCATAGCTACAAAGAACCTCTAGAATTCTTTTAGATTCCATCGAAATCGGTTACAGAGCCAATCAAGACGCTGAGGATACGGACAGCTTATATTTGCCATCACAGCAAAGGATTTACGGAATGCCGATAAAGTAGGTGATACATATTTTCGGTCTCGAAAGACTTCAGACGTGTACTGAATTGACCCGGACTTTATCCGGCCAATTGACTCCCTTTCAGTTCTTTACATTTCTAGCCGGTTCTCTGCACCAGAATTGACTCGGATTTTATACGGCTAAGAGCTATTGTTTCGAAGATCTAGCTACGTTTAGGTAGAAACTCCCTTCCCTCCCTTTMAGTATTAGCTACAAAAACMACAAGGTCGTATCTGCGTTGGAAGGATAAGGAGGTCACAAACTTGGTAGCACGTTTTGTATGAAATTGGCGATATTTCCCATAGCTACAAAGAACCTCTAGAATTCTTTTAGATTCCATCGAAATCGGTTACAGAGCCAATCAAGACGCTGAGGATACGGACAGCTTATATTTGCCATCACAGCAAAGGATTTACGGAATGCCGATAAAGTAGGTGATACATATTTGCGAGAAGTTCAATTATAGACATTTGATCGCGCAGCTAACACAAAACTCGGAAACTTTTATTTCGGATAAAAATCCGGGTCCGTACCGGTTACAACCAAGTTCCAAGTTTTTTAGCTCCTAAACTTGGTGGTGCTCAATGAAGTACTTTGAAGAGTAAAAGATACAATTACTAAATTTAGGTACTCAATCCTAGAACCCAGACCTATCACAAACCCGACACAAAATGCTAGAAAACCATCTGCCCCCAAACGTAGAATGGTTAACGGACATAAGTAGTTTCATTCAGAGCACCAAATTCAACAGATGTCTTCTCATTTCGCTTTCCACTTTTTTTTATAACAAAAATAAAGCACTGACCCTGCAGTCCTGATTCCGAAGCCCGCTGATTGCTTCATAGAAACTTTATTGGAGCAATCCCGGCAGCTACAATATGTACCCTACAAATCTTTGTCACTGAAGTCTATAAATAAATCCAATTAAGTACGTAGGCGTTGAATATATTAGTTTCTCCCCAAACAATGTTTAAAGAAAATATTTGTGCCTTAACTATATTTCCAAAAAATTACCAAAAAACTGCATTGATGCATTTAATAAAATTAAAACTATGATCTTAAAGTATAAAAAACGATTTTGTGAATTTATGCATATGGAGGATGTTTGTACTAAGTACATACATATACAATCATTGACCTAATTCAGATCTTTCAGAAATCTTGCTACTACTTGGCGCCTCGGTTCCTTCTTTACTTGTAATTCTCGGTTGGTTGTCTACGACCGGCTCCACAACACACTCGGAAGGCTCAATCGTTATCAGTTCAATTTCACGGCTGTTGCCTAGCAAATGCGACGGATTGGATGAAATGTTCTCTTCTGGACGTTCATAAGTATTGAYTGCAATCCTTGAAAATTCCGAAAGCAATTCTTTATCTGTAACAGTTTTGCATGGTTTTTCAACCTCCTTGCGTATTTCACCGCTGCCGCCATGATTGATACCAGCACCACTAGGCATAACTGTACTCTCCCTGCTATTATAATTTTTCCAGCGACCTTTCTTCGAATTTACCTGCTCATTAGCTTCAAGAGCTTCATCGATTGGTGGTCTAGTCGCATGAATGGGAAACACAAATTTAACATCTAGAAAATCACATAATTCCTCAATGCCATCTAATGCCTGCAATAGCTCTCTAGAGCTATTTCCTTGGATATGTTTTTTCATAGTGGCTACATATAATTGGAGTTTGTTTCGTGCTATGGATATTATCGTTTCAGCATTCCTTAATTCCAAATTAATTAGTTCTTGACTCTAAAGAAAAAGAGAAAAACTGAATAAGTTATGCTGAATTAAAGTTTGACCGTCTAATTAGAACAAACATTTTTGGAATGGCCTTCGGCGATGGCGCCTTCTTCTTCAGCAAGGTCTTTTCGTAACCATGCAGCAGAGTCTGCAGCATTTTGTGTTTGCAGCTTTGCTATGTGCTGCTGCATTTTTGAAAAATTATCACCTTTTGAAGTGGAACTAGCTTTTGGTGATTTATTGGAAGACTCGGTATTATTAAAATTCGTAMTACGTGAGTTTTGTATTGCTCCCTTTTGCTTGTTATTCGTAAAATAGACAAACGCATTGATGGGACGTTCAAATCTTTTCGGCATAAGCATGTGCAATGCATGACGTAGAATTAAGTTCACATCGACGTTCGTCGGATAGCGCATCAAGTATGTAAGGCAACTTGTTTGGTCGCTGAGCAGCAATTTGTCACGAATGCGTATCAGCATTGCCACTAGAATGTAGTTTGGTAAATCGAAATGGTCGCTATCTGCGAATATCGCATCCCAAATTACCAACAAATCGAGAAGTGCGAATTCTCGACCGAAGAGTAAACGAAGCCAACGACTACAAGGAAAATATTTTACAAATATGTCAACGTTAAAAACTTGCAATTCACTTACATTCCAAATATATGTAACGGTATATCGAGTTTCAAAAGATAATTGTGCAAGTGCAAATCCTCTTTGGCAAGAATCTTTTCACGAATTGATATAAGTTGACTTATGATTTCTACACCGGTTCCCATGCTATGATTTGTCTAAAAATAATTATTATAACGTTAATGTTTATCATGTTATTTACAAACTCACCTCACTTTCCGCATGGAAGCGCTCGTGTGGTTGTGCGAAATTTTTTATCCGATAGTAAGACTCAATGGATGACATCAAACGGGAAAATAAAGAGCTAAATAATATAAATAAAAAGCTTAAATTATTGAAAGGTATATAACTCTAGATATCAATAGATGTAGTGTTTTAGAATACATAATTATGGTTTAACGTCGATAAAAACTAAAAAAAAATAGTTATAATTAGCATATTAACAAAGTAGCGGGATTATAACAAGAAAAAACATTAACATCGGTTGCACCGAATTATGAACAAGCTTACACGTAAGGCCTTGCTTTTGATCGCTCAGTTTGTATGGTAGTATATACATATGCTATATTGGTCCAATATCGGCGGTTCCGACAAATTTGTACTTTCTTGGAGGAAAACGACTTACATATGTAAATGTTTAGATCATCCCCTCTAAAAGTGGGTGACGAGTTCGAGTACTTGCAGACAGACAGTTAAAAATTGGGACATGACTAAAATTAATGTTAGTTTTTAAATATAACATTTTATAACGTTTTTGTTAATGCACCCATATACCTTAATTAAAACTATGACATTTAGTACAACTTACTAAGTATCAGCTTCCAAGTAATTTGGGTCCAGCACGTTTAAAAGAAGTTCACTAGAAGTAATAAGAATTGAGCATACACACATTTGTTATTATAATATACCTTTATATCTTACCTTGTTTGATTTTGAGCAATCTCCGAAAAATGAAGCAGTGACTGTTGGTCGCCATAGAAAACAAACAATAGAGGTGCAAGGATTTCATGCATACCTTGGCGATAACACATATAAGGATGTTCTCTTGCGTAATAGAAAAGAATGTTACACTGGGGAATTCATACATATTATTAATAAGAATATTTCTTAATTTTTATTTAATATAACAAACCATAGCATTTTGTATTAACGGTTTACGAAAGAAGTCCACACCCGGGAAAGTTCGAATGACATCTTGACTTATAACAGCAAAGAGTTCTCTGTCGCTAAAATATTGGTTCCACACGCTCTATAAATATATAAATAAAACTTACTACAGAAATGAAAAATGTAAAAACATTACTTTCTTACCTCCTCCGATTGTGACAGTGGATTATCATCAGGTACCATATTATCATGAGGGTCCTTTATAAATTCGTCCTTCAGCTTTTCGTACCTTAAATCAAAAAGTATTATGGTTTACTCGTTTAAAGTAAAAATAAAACCATTATTACCTACCGCTTTCGTTGCATCTCTCTTTGTTCTTTCCAACTACGGTAATTAGGGTTTAAAACACGTAGCAATAATGACCAATAAATGCTTCGGAACTTTGAAACTTTTAAATCACCTTCTAACGCTTGCTCCCGTATATACTCGGGGTCTTCATCCAAAATTTTTAGAAGCTTATCCCATTCTTCCCTTTTTACAATTTAAAAATGTAATAAAGGTATATATAATATGTAAATTATAGAACATTGAAGAGTATACGCCCTTTTATTTTTAAATGAATAAATGAATGTTGAAAGTAATTTTGAAGGGAGATTGAATCAATCAGTTATTTCCGAAAAAGCAAGACATAAATAAAGTYATTATTTATTAATTTTGAAAGGTTCCTTTTAATGTTTGTACTATTATGTATTTATAATCAATTTTGTCAGTGCCCAAGTAGTATCATAGATAAGGTGGTCGAAACAGCATTAAAAAAGCTATTTAATTTTTATTACCTATACCGTTCTGCCGATGACATTGTGTCGGTTGTACTTAATTCTTGGCCTCGCTCTTCCTTAATATTTGTAGAAATTTGAGAGTTATCTTTAGGCATATATTGTTTTATAGCTTCAACGCCTTGAACATACATTTTTGTGTGAAGTTATACTATATTTTTTAAACTATAACATGTTCAAAACGAAAATACTATTTGAAATATGTAATATTTAATCAAACTCACAAAAATGCACCGATGAAGGTTTTGTTTTTATCAAATTGCAGTGCTTCGGCAGCGTTGCCCCATTATAAAATTTTATTTTCGTTTACTTTAAGTTAAGGTTATTAAGTTCATACTAAATAAATATGTWGTATTAATATCATAATTTATAAATTTATTATTAGGACCTTTAAATTAATTCGACTCTTGCAAACATTAAATCACAATTTTTGGAAAAAATTATCGAAATTGAGATGGCAGCCTTAYTTTGATAATAAAAAATAACATTCCTCGCAATTTGTTTTTGTTTATAATTAATCTTATTGGACATTTAGTAAATATTTGTTCAGGTCAAATGTTAAAATTTTYTATTTACGCATTTTATTGAACAATATTAAAAGATCTGAAATTCATTCCCGCTTATTATGCCACATTTTCAGAATTGTAACCATTTAATTCCCCGAAAATTTACTTACCCAGTTTTYTTAATATCATTATATTGAGTGAAATAAACGGAAATGAACAATTATGAACGTAAATCACAAAATATACTCCACAATGCAAATATAAGCAATTATGAAATACCATAAAAGGTATTCTTAAATTATCTAACGAACAGAAATATTGTAAATGCTGACCAAATAATTAAGATACATTATCTAATTTTTGTTAGGGATAAATGTGTGCTATTTATTCCTGAACATATTTTCGAAAGTTTTCATATTATATATTAAATCAATTGGCGAATGAAATTCTTCTACATTTAATGATGTTCGGCAGCTTCCTTTGCCTGGCTCTCGGCCCACTTCTTCTTGTTTTCGGGTGAGTTGGCTAAAATAAAAAAGTTAATAAAACAATATATTATAATTCCAATGATTTTTTTTAACTCACCCAATTTGCTGATTTTATAGAAGACAGGAATGCACAACCCAAAGGCAACGAAATAGTATTTCCAGATCCATTGCTTTTGGATATAATGCTTCAGAGGGAATTGGGCAATTTTTGCACTGAAAGTATATGGGTACTTCATTGGGCGTCCAACTTTCTCAACCGCTTTATCAGACATTGTGATGGTTCTGTCAATATAAATTTATAATTCAATATTTMTAATTAAGAGTGCCTTTTATTTGAGAAAAAAATTATGTAACTTACAATTACTTTTCAACAGGCAAAAAACACCAATCACCACACTATGTGATTCCTCTTCTATCACAAAAGCAATATTCACAATGGTAATTGTCAAAATGTCAGTACTGCCAGATATAGTTATGTCATTTACGTAAATAATAAATAATTTATTTTGCAAAAAGMATCACGTTGAATTGAAAATTCGCGGAGGTATTTAAGAACAACAAAAATTAAGTTTATACATTTAACATAAAATTATTGCAAACAGTACCAAGACAGATATATTTTATAATGCTAGATATTAAGGAAATATGTGAACGTAGACATRTAGCAACACTATCAATTGAGAAATAGGTGGCTTCCTGTCTATTTTGGTTTTTCCTATTTGCCGGTTCCGTTGCTATTTTTCGTAATTAAACATTTACAAAAATATGAAAAAAAAGTTGTGTGCACATTTATTTGTGAATTTTACTGCCTTATTATATTCCTTGAAATGTGTACTGTGAATTTATGAATGATTTTAAATTTACATGTGTGTACATATGTATGTATGTATGTATATGTCATGGGTGAATATGGAAAATTGTTGTTTAAAAAGAAATTAAATATTTATTGTAGACGTGTATGTATGTAAGWATATTTTTATTTTATAAACCTCTGTGGATTTATTATTAATATTTGCATGCTTTAAACAAACGTGAAGTCTGTCAGATGGTTAGGGAATGTATCTGTATCTAAGTTTGTTTCCGAATGGATAAAATTGCTTTTCCCAGGTTGGTAATATTTTTTGTGAAGTTTRATAAATATTGCAAACGAGCTTTGGAGTGTTTTTTTTTTATCTGAAACACAAGTATTTAGGTGACACAAAGCGAAAACTCTCTTGAAGTCGTCGAAAGCTTGTGTCACACGAGTCGTCCACTTCATCGAAAAAGTTGACACAATACTTGAAAATCGCCGTTTTGGCATCAGATATAAAAGATAATCTCATGAAGTATGTCAATGCTGAACTCTGGCACGATTCCGATTACTTTGGCGGAGGGGTAAAAAAACCGAATTTCCATAGAAATGGGGTATGTACGGATAGGGGAGCT